ATAATTATCTTCTACACCACACAAGTAATATATTAAAGAATTATTACAGAGTGTTAACATTCATACACAACACCCACAATGTTCCATCTAATTAATCATTAAGCCTGTTCTTGCATATATCTTGATTGACACATACCTTTATATTTATGTTTAAACTCGTCAATTCTATTACTATTTTTTATGTCTACACTTAAATTATTCCATAGTTTTACCCCACTTATGGAAATACAAAATCTTTTTTTGGTTGTACGTATAGCATGAATTTTTAAATTTAACTGACCCCTTAAATTGTATCCCCCTTCCCTTTCATTAAATAGTTTTTGAATTCCACCAGGTAATAAATTGCTCCTGGCTTTATATGGTTCAGAGTTTGAGATTGTGTCGACCATCTGTCGACATGAAGAATAAAGAGATGACTATGAAATGTGGGTACACACAAAAAAGCAAGTTCTCCATGATCATCTCCCTTCCCCCCAGCCCCCCATCCCTGAAGGTCTGTGAACAGGATGTGCATGGTCTTTTTAAAAAACAAGATCTGAAAGCCACTAGGCCCAGACGGTGTGACTCCCTCTTCCTAAAAGCTTGTGCTGATCAGCTGGCCCCCCATCTTCACACATACTGTATCTGGTCACTGGAGCTGAGTGAAGTGCCCTCCTGCTTCAAACGTTTCACCATCATCCTGATTCAGCTGACTGAATGACTACAAACCTGTCGCCCTGACATTTGTAGTTATGAAGTCCTTTGAGAGACTGGTGTTGGCCCACCCGAAGGACATCATAGAACCCCTATTGATCGCCCTGCAGTTTGCCTACCAGGCATCCTGCAACACCTAGACTCCCCAAAGACCTATGCATGGGTCCTCTTTGTGGACTTCAGCTCAGCTTTCAACACCATCATCCCAGACATCCTCCACTCCTGTCAGTGGATCACCAGCTCTCTGACAGGAGGTGAGGCTGGAGAAAACCACATCCAGTGTCTGGACAATCAGCACAGTTGCCCCTGAGGGATGTGTGCTCTCCATGCTGCTCTTCTCCCTCTACACCAACGACCGCACCTCAGGGGACCCCTCTGGCCATCATTCTCATCCAAGACGGTGACTAGTCAGCGTACAGACAAGAGGTTGAACAGCTGGCCATGTGGTAGAGTCGCAACAACCTGGAACTGAATACACTGATAACAGTGGAAATGACAGTGGACTTTAGGAAGTGCCCCTGCCTAACTGTCTCCCAGGACCTGAAGTGGACATCCAACATCAGCACTATCACTAAGAAGGCACAGCAGAGCATGTACTTCCTGCGTCAGCACAGGAAGTACGACTTGCCCCAGGAGCTGCTGATACAGTTCTACAGAGGAATCATCAAGTCTGTTCTCTGCTTTGGTCTGGTTTGGTTCAGTAACCAAACAGGACAGGAACAGACTCCAGTAGACAGTCAGGACTACAGAAATGTACGACCTGTACAAAAGGAAGGCAGAGAAGATTACTGTACACACCATGATTTCCTCCCCTCTGGATGGCGCTACAGTTCATTATATGCCAAAGCAACCAGACACAAGGACAGTTTCTTCCCTACGTCTGTCACTGATGAGCCCTTAACCCATGACTGTATAACAGAACAATAACCCTCAGTGCAATACCTGTATATATCTATCTGGAAAAACTCCATCTAAACTGATCACCAGTATATCACAGTGAAAGAAATCTAATTACACAATTAAACAATGAGTTTACATGAACATAGTATGCTGAAATCAGGTTTGTTTCCTCCCCCAAACGCAGGTCCGTTTTATTGCATTCCACGATCATTATGAATAAAAGTTATTTTTCTTTTGGATTCCCCTGTTTGTTCATATTTTACCGGTGGTGAATTTGGTCCTGCTGATCCTGTGTCTGTCTGTTCAGGCAAAGGAGGTGGTGCCGGATCCTGAGCTGGTGAAGAAGTTAAATTGGCTTTCCTGTCCTGTGCTCCCTCTGAGTGAAGGCTCCCCTGGGACTCCATCGAGCTTGGAGCTCACCTACATCATTGACTTCTTCCTGGCTCTGGCCATCTGTAACAGTGTGGTGGTCTCCTCACCCAGCCAGCCTCAAAATGTGGTAAGTAGATGACATCTGCAGGGCACGTTACATCAGAGAATGGTATCTAAGTTTCCTTAATTGTATTGAGACTGTAAAAGCACTAGTTCAGTGTGATGCCCTGTAACAGATAACTGATTATGATGAACTTTGCTGCTGAACAGGAGGTAATCCAATTATTACTTTAATTCCTTATGGATCATTCTGTTTTTTGTTGTCTTGTATTGAGCAGACTAATTTATAAATTCATAAATTTACTGATGGGCAGTATTCTCTTAATACCATGGCCTGCTCAGGTACCCAACTACTATCACTGTATAATTTGCTCTACTAGTTTTACCAAGGCCCACTAACTAGCAACCCCTGAAGTATAAGAAAAATTTGCTCTGGGGTTTTTTAAGTTATCTTTGGGCTTTTGTAGTCTTTATTAAACAGTCAGTTGCAGAGAGGCAACTCGGGTGGATGATCCTGTGACCAGGCAGGTAGCAGGAGGCGGACAGTCTCTGGGCCGGGCAGGAAACTGGGGAAGCGGTTCGCTCCGGACGATAGCCTCGGGACCAGACAGGAAGCTTAGATGACTGACTGGGAAGACGGCCACAGGGAGTTGATAGCACCGTTCAGAAGGATGACCTTGAAACCAGACAGGCGTCTGGAGTGGCTGACCGGGTGGATGGCCACTGAACCGGACAGGCAGCAGAGGCAGAAAAGGTCACTCCGGAAAACCTTGGCGCCAAGTGAGATGCAGGGGGGCGGGGCGCTATTCAGAAGGACAGCCCAGGGGCCAGGCAAGGAGCAGAGGATGCCTTTCGGGAGCAGGGCCTAGGCGCCAGATGAGGTCATTCAGGCAGACAACCATGAGATCCAACAGGAAGCTGGAGAGGCCATTCTGGTGGATGGCCCTGAAATCCAGCAGAAAGCCACTTGGGTGGATGGCCTGGGGATCTGGCAGGGCATTGAGAAGGCAACTCAGGCAGGCAGTCTTGGGACCTGGCAGAAGCCTGGAGGCAACCTCACAGTTGAATGGAAACCCGAGGCCGGGACATGTGAGCAGCAGGGGACTCACTGATGATATGCCTAGACACTGGCACAGGAGTGAGGGTATTGTCATAGACCCACTGGAGGTCAAGGGTGGGAGGTGGTGTTGGCCCCCTCAGGAACTGAGGCAGTGGTGGAGTTGTGCCATTCAGAAACTGGGGCAGATGTGGCGTTGACCCACTCAGGAGCAGGAACAATGGTGGTATCGACCCATAGAAGAACTGGGGCAAAGGCGGCGTCAGCCCACTCAGGGACAGGAATGGCGGTGGCGTCAACCCACTGGAAAACAGGAACTGAGGTTGTGTTGAAGATGTCGACCCGCTCAGGAACAGGAACAGAGGCAGCATTGGCGTCCCAGCAATGACAGGTGATTGTGAACTGGGGTAAAGCGGGGGCAGGTGAGGTGACACAGACAGGAGATCAAACCAAAATAATAGCACAAGAACAGGAAGCAAGTCCAAACCATAACAATTTCACCAGCTAACCACATGCTAACCATGTTAACTTAGCAATATAAAACAATGGAAACGAGGAAATAAAACAAATAATGTACCGCAATATGGGGTCTGTGGATGAGGCAGGGAAACTGTCCAAACTAACCAGTGTCCACAACAAAAACTAACCGGGTATGAAGATAAAGTGCTCCACACAGGAGACAGGAGCCTATGAACAGGTGATTGAAGCAGCCTGGCAAGTGAGCAGACAAACAAATCCTGGGAACAAGTGAGGCGTTGGGGATGAAAAGACGGGAGCTTTTTGGACATGGAAACCAGATGAACCAGCAAAGGACTGAGGGAAGACAGGAGAATATATAAGCTGAAGACCAGGGAATAATGAGAAACAAGAGGAAACAATGAGAGGTGACTGTGAACTAGAGTAAAGCTGGGGCAGGTTAGGTGACCCAAGACAGGAAATCAGATAAAATAAAAGCAGAAAAATAGGAAGCGAGTCCAAAACCATAACAAACTAACTACACCCAGCCAACACCATGTCAGCAAGTCGGCATAACGCTATCATCAGCAGGTTACCAAACACAGCCAGATAGCCACTTTCAGCTTTCTCATGTAAGACAAAGATGTATGGAGGGATGCACACACAAACTATATGCATTAAGCTCTGTTCCTCCAGTTTTTTGATTTTTTTTTTCTCATTTTATAATCCTGATCACAGTTTTTTAATGAGTATCTACTTACGCTTTCATGAAAATGCTGAGCAGGTTTTAAGTAAATGTCTCACTTTTCACTAACTACCCTCATGCAACTGTATTCACAAGTTGATGACAGAATGACAAAGTTAACTGAGCAGTGCTAACTCTGGTACACTACATCACATGTAGTTTTAAGGTGATCAGAAAACAGCGCTGATGAAAACAGTCATGCTTGTGCACTGACCATATATCACAATGCATTTGATCTGACAACATTCTAATCCCAGTCAGATCTCTAACAGGTCAAACTGTTTGAATCTGTTAGTGTGGTGACTGTAAACATTCTCACCTGAATGGGACGAAAACATTGTTCACTTAAATAAATGGGTGTTTCAGAGTCAGTGATGATTTTTTTCAGTTTTTATAATGGAAACTCTGACATTACACGTACAATGCACAATAAACCTTATTTTGTATATTTTCAGTCTTTCTGGAGAAGGTAAATTAAATTGTTACCCAAAAACCACTCCATGAAAATAGAATGTAGATGCATCAGAGAATGTATTAATTTACTTACAGCAGAATGCATGTAGCCATTTTTTTATAATCTTACCTTTGCTCAGGTTCATAGTGGCTACACCACTTCCTATGAAATACAACAAGACAAAATAAGTCTCTTTTGTGAATAAACGTAAGAGCAGGTTATTAATCTGTATAAAGAAACAAAACAAGAATTTCAGCTAAAGTTTGGAATTACACATGTATATAGCAGCATTTAATAATATTTAATAACAGTAACATTTGATTGTTCATGACTATCACAGATGACTAGAGCAGGTTGAATCACTGATGTTGGATGATAAAACCTGGATAGAAGTCAGTGTAACAGTTCAAGCCCAAAAGTGCTGAATGTGAGATTCTCTGATGATCCTACCTTTTCATGGGTCTTCCACCATCTCTGTCTGTGGCCAGCTCTAAACATCTATTCTTTGTGTCATTAGACACATGCCAATTCCTCACTGCAGACAAATGAGAGGGAAATAAAGCCATAAGCAATAAACTCCCATGCTACGGTGCTGGAATATGATTGCAACAGTTTTCTCTGAGAAATGGTGCGTTATCTGACAGAAATACAGGGGTGCCAATATTTTTGGCCATGACTGTGTATGAAAATAACTAACTTATGATGGTGTAACTTTATAGAATCCATAGGCTAGTATGGTTGTAAAAGTTAAAATCCTAATAGCCACTGTCTCTCATGTGTTCACTGGTTGACATTTGTCTCTCCCCCCACAGTGTCTCTGTACCAACTGCAAACTGCTGTTTTACCTTCAGTTACAAAGTTTTTAAAAAAGCTACCTCCAAAATGTTCTTCTTAGATTTTTATGGCGGCTTGCAAACAGTGAAATGGTGCATTACTGCCACAAACTGGATAGGAATGTGGGTCAGGAATCTGGCTGGTTTAGGCATGTTGTGGACAGCGGTCTCCCAAGGTCTTTCATATTCTACATATTCTCTGTGGTGGTTAATGTGCAGATGGGGCAACAAGCACTGAGTTGGTTCATTAATTTTTGGCATAGTTTGGAGATTATCATCTTTTGAGCAACATCTGTTTTTTCAAAGCCAAAATATGCCCACAAGAGTGAGGACATTCCACATTTAGCAATTAAATCTAACAGTATAAACTGCCAGGCATGGTGTTTGTAATTTTTAGTTTTTTTTTCTTCAATCATTTTGAACTTCACCAATGCATTTTAGGCAGCTATGCTAGTTTAACCTGTGATGCATGACAACATACACACTGTGTGCACTCTCAATGTGCACATATTAGGCTATGTGAATGCGTGGCTCTTTCAGCCACTTTTGTTACAGTGGATCATGGTATATTGCTGTTTGTTTGGCTCATTATGTAGGTATTCAAGGAGCTGCTCTTATGTGGTTTGAATCCTATTTGTTCAACAGGAGTTACTCTGTATATATATCTTCTGCTACCTCTATTACATGATCTAGGAATGTAAGGGGGAGGTGGTGGGTGCTAGCAGAGCTGTCACCTGTGGTTGGTTAAATGTTGGTATCATCAGTCTCGATCTATTAATACAATTTTTTTTTTAAATTAAATTTTATTTGTATAGCGTCAAATCTCAACTTAAGTAATCTCAGGACACTTTACAAAATAAGGTCTAGACCTTACTATTATTATTATTATCATTATTATTGTTATTATTATAGAGGAAAACCCAACAAATCCCCCTGAGCAGCACTTGACAACAGCGGGGAGGAAAAACTCCCTTTAATGGAAGAAACCTCCGACAGACCCCGGCTCTTGGTGGGCAGCCTTCTGCCTCGACCGGTTGTGGTGAGTGGATAGAGGAGAGAGAAAAGAAGAAAAGCAACAAGACACAGCAAACAGCAACCATTCAAACACTGGGCAGGTTGATGTGGCCAGTGACTGCTCATCAGAAATATAGAGCTCCAGAGCCAGGGCTACCTGCAGAAAGGTACAGGGAGAGAGAGAGAGAGAGAGAGAGGACACACAGTTAGTGTCGGATAGTGGTGGCATATACAGTGCCTTGCGAAAGTCTTCGGCCCCCTTGAACTTTGCGACCTTTTGCCACATTTCAGGCTTCAAACATAAAGATATAAAACTGTAATTTTTTGTGAAGAATCAACAACAAGTGGGACACAATCATGAAGTGGAACGAAATTTATTGGATATTTCAAACTTTTTTAACAAATAAAAAACTGAAAAATTGGGCGTGCAAAATTATTCAGCCCCCTTAAGTTAATACTTTGTAGCGCCACCTTTTGCTGCGATTACAGCTGTAAGTCACTTGGGCAAGTCAAAGTCCAGACCTGAATCCAATCGAGAATCTGTGGAAAGAACTGACAACTGCTGTTCACAAACGCTCTCCATCCAATCTCACTGAGCTCGAGCTGTTTTGCAAGGAGGCATGGGCAAAAATTTCAGTCTCTCGATGTGCAAAACTGATAGAGACATACCCCAAGCGACTTACAGCTGTAATCGCAGCAAAAGGTGGCGCTACCAAGTATTAACTTAAGGGGGCTGAATAATTTTGCATGCCCAATTTTTCAGTTTTTTTATTTGTTAAAAAAGTTTGAAATATCCAATAAATTTCGTTCCACTTCATGATTGTGTCCCACTTGTTGTTGATTCTTCACAAAAAATTACAGTTTTATATCTTTATGTTTGAAGCCTGAAATGTGGCAAAAGGTCGCAAAGTTCAAGGGGGCCGAATACTTTCACAAGGCACTGTAGATGGATGGAGAGAGAGGAGAGGACAGAAACTCAGAGCATCATTTTAAAGACAGACTTGTTTATCAGGCACCTGACTCTGGTCTAGGCTGATGTTTTGTCTTTATGTCTTCCTGTCTCATCATATTGTATCTTTTTGCTGTGCATTTCTAAACTGTAATTTTTTTGTATTTATTAAGTTTTTATCTGTTGTGAAGCACTTTAACTTTAGAAAGGTGTTATATAAGATTGCTTGCTTTCTAAAAATAATTACATACTGAGCAGTTCTTTTACAAAACCCATTCTTGTATATATTTTTTCTCTTTCCTGCAGGTGCCTGAAGCAGGAACACCTCTCAGATCCCTGGAGGAAATCAAACTGATGTTCCAGCACTTCAGTTTCTCTCCTTTCTCAGCCCTGACCACAATCTCCCCTCCCCAGATCAAAAGCAGCCCTGGCAGCAGGCAGTTCACTCATGGGAAGACCAACTCCTTCACATTCTCTACACCTCCAAGCAGCACTACAGTTGGATCTGAATCAGGCCAAGAAAGCAGCCTTGAAACCTCCAACCTTAAACTGCATTTGTCTGCAAGAAGAGAGAGAGGAGATATTGGACAGCTGGATAGCAGGGAGACAGAGGGTGATATCAGCAAAACAAAGATAAACCCTGACATGGCCAAGCAGGATGTAGAGGGCCTGACTAGAGAAATGGATAATGATGATGAATTAGTGTATGAGGCAGAGTGTCCAGATGAGGAAGCTCTGGTCCACGCAGCCCGTGCATACCGCTGCACCCTCAGGGGGCGCTCTGCAGACAGCCTGCTGGTGGATCTACCAGGAATTGGTCCTTTGGTTATCCAGCTACTTCACATCTTGCCCTTTGACTCCAACAGGAAGATGATGTCAGTGGTAGTTCGCCACCCAGTCACTGGACAAGTGGTGGTTTACACTAAGGGAGCTGACTCTGTCGTTATGGGTCTGGCTGAGACACCTACATGTAATTATCAAATATGAATGAAAAATTAGGGGATCCAGGTCTGACTAAGGAGTTGTCTTTTCACTGATCTAAAGACAAATAATAATGATACTAAAAGCAGTTTTTTGTCTGTGTTGCTGTCATGCTGTATGTGTCTTTGTTATGTTTAGGTGCAGAGCAGGCTCAGGAGATCCACACTCACATCAGAAAGCAAAGCCAAAAACATTTAGACAGCTATGCCAGAGAAGGCCTCCGCACACTCTGCATCGCTAAAAAGGTAACGCTGCAAAAAGGTCAACTTAAAAACTGTGTACATTTTTTTTTTTATTTTACATTTCTTACTCATTTTCATCACACCTTATTTATTACCATGGACTCCTGTGGCTCTAAATGAACGTGAGGCTCATTAAAGCAGTTCCACACAGTCTGATCCACCTCACAATCTGGCTTTTGAGCTCAAACCACAGAGCACGACCTGAAGTAAATTATTTAACCCTGTAAAGCCTGACACATCAAAAAATAGCCAGAACATTCTAATTTTTCGGAACTGAGATGTTTATTAAACCTTTTAACAAAATCCAAAATATAATTCACGATTCAAAATTCAAGATTCACGATTTTTATTTGCCATATATGCATAGACAGACAGTCCAGGCATATAGGAATAGAGGTGCCATATTATTTAGATTATTTCTATTTCTTTTGTATCACATTTGATACATGGGGCATTTTTGGTGATTTTTTTTTTGCTCAGAAACCTCACATATCAAATATGATACAAATGGTTTTATAGGGTTAAGTTTGTGGGAGATATGAATAACTGGAGCATAGTGTCACATTTCTATTCCTACAGTACAATTAAATATATAAGGAATAGAATCAGTTCAGCAATTCAAAATGTGTCTATGCACTGTTTTATGCATCTGAGTTCATTATCTGTCATTAATGCATAACACAGTCTGTCTAGGCATTTTCTGCACACACTGTATACATAATTTTCTTCCACAACCAAAAGGACCAAGGACAGAGAATGACGGTGTCATTTGCAGTGTCTTATCAGACATTCTTGATTAGAAGCAGCTGTATAAACAGCAGCTGCTGTGAAGGAGAGTGGCATTGTTTACAGTTTATACAGTCTTATGCAAAAGTTTAGGCACCCCTTGATAAATAACAGATTTTGGTGATTTGGTGAAAAAATGCACAATATTTTCAGCAAACAGTGATGCATAGTTACTTCTTATGCCATAAATTGAACAAAAATAAAAAATAAAAACATTATTATGGCATGGTGCAAAAGTTTGGGCACCCTACACAATCAGTACTTAGTAACACCTCCTCTGGCAGATATCACAGCTTGCAAACGCTTTTCATAGCCAGCTAAAAGTCTTTCAATTCTTGTACTTGGGATCTTCTCCCATTCTTCCTTGCAAAAGGCTTCTAGTTCTGTAATATTCTTTGGTCGTCTTGCATGCACAGCTCTTTTAAGATCTACCCACAAATTTTCAATGATGTTTAAATCAGGGGACTGTGATGGCCATTCCAAAACCTTCAGCCTGCGTCTCTTGAGGTATTCCATAGTGGATTTCGAGGTATGTTTAGGATCATTGTCCTGTTGTAGAAGCCATCCTCTTTTCAGCTTCAGCTTTTTTACAGATGGTGTGATGTTTGCTTCCAGAATTTGCTGGTATTTAGTGGAATCCATTCTTCCCTCCACCCGTGCAATGTTTCCTGTGCCACTGGCTGCAACACAACCCCAGAGCATGATAGATCCACCCCCATGCTTAATAGTTGGCAAGGTGTTCTTTTCATGAAATGCTGCTCCTTTTTTTCTCCAAACATGCCTTTGCTGATTGTGTCCAAAGAGTTCTATTTTAACTTCATCAGTCCACAGCACTTGTTTCCAAAACGCATCGGGCTTCTGTAGATGTCCTGTTGCATACTTCAGACGTTGGATTTTATGATGGGGACGCAGATAAGGTTTTCTTCTGCTGACTCTTCCATGAAGGCCTTGTCTGTGCAAGCATCGCTGCACAGTGGAACGGTGCACCACCACTCCTGAGTCTGCTAAATCTTCCTGCAGGTTTTTTGCAGTCAAATGGGGGTTTTGATTTGTCTTTCTGACCAGCATACGAGCAGTTCTGTCCGAGAGTTTTCTTGGTCTTCCAGATCTCATCTTGACCTCCACAGTTCCCCTGATCTGCCATCTCTTAATTACATTTCTTACTGTGGAAACTGCAAGCTGACAACGCTTTGCTATCTTCTTGTAGCCTTCTCCTGCATTGTGGGCATCAATAACTTTCATTTTCAGGGTCTTACACAGCTGCTTAGAGGAACCCATGGTTGCTGGGTGTCCACAAGTGTGTGCACAAGGTTTGAAGAGTCAAAGTATTTGTACAGCTTTGAAATTGGCATTTACCAATGACAGCTGTTGCTGTGCATCAGATCTAACGAGCTGATTAAGGTCTGATACCTTGTGAGAGACTTTGAGACTCTGGAACTCTTAGGGTGCCCAAACTTTTGCACCATGCCATAATAATGTTTTTATTTTTTATTTTTGTTCAATTTATGGCATAAGAAGTAACTATGCATCACTGTTTGCTGAAAATATTGTGCATTTTTTCCATTTCCAAGAGAAACTGTGTTAACATCTGTTCAAATAAAAAATCACCAAAATCTGTTATTTATCAAGGGGTGCCTAAACTTTTGCATAAGACTGTATAATCACAGTACTAATGGCAGATACCTCCCCCTGCTGGTAGGAAGAGTTATTAATCTAATACAGGTGCAGAACGTAAATGCTAATTGGCTGATGGCTGTAGTCTGTGTGGTGTGTTCAAGTGCCACATTTTTGACCCAGAGAAAGGTGAACTGAGACAGCACAACAGCTGGCCTTTGTGAATCCACCCATTTATGTAAGGAGATGTGTTGTTTACAGAGTGACTGTGCATTCTGTGTCTGATGCAGGTTTTGGAGGAGGAGGAGTATGAAGTGTGGCTCAAAAGACATCTGCTGGCAGAAAGCAGCATAGAGAACAGAGAGGAGCTGATCCTGGAGTCAGCTCAGAGACTGGAGACCAACCTCACCCTGCTGGGTAAGAGAGCTGCTCACTGCAGCTGATACATGGACCGTTCATTTATCGGAGCTGGGAGCAGTGGCACTTACAGACCTTTGTCTCTGATTCTGTGTGTTTAGGTACCACAGGGATTGTAGACAGGCTGCAAGAGGAAGTCCCAGAGACCATTGAAGCTCTTCAGAGGGCTGGGATCAAAATCTGGGTCCTCACTGGAGACAAACAGGAGACGGCAATCAACATCGCCTATTCCTGTAAAATCCTCTGTCCCAATGATCAACTGCTGACAGCCAACTGTGGAAGCAAGGTCAGTGGCTGAGGGATACCACTGTTGTTGGGTTTATTTGGAGATGTTTTTATTATTATTTTTTTATTTAATAGTTTATTTAATAGGGACAGCGGACAGCCATGAACTGTCTCAGAATTATCTACAGAACTAAATTTCATCTGAGTCCCTGGGCAGGAAATACAAGGATATCATAAAACTTCACATGCTATGTCATCATACATGAAAATTAAATATGATGTCAATAATCAATAAATAGCAAACACTAACCATCACACATTAAAAATTCTAATGTTAAAATGACATAATAGGTAGCTACTCAATGATGGCATGCCTGGCTCTTCTTTAGCCAGGTCTTTAATTAGACCTTAAAGAGTCTGTGGCATGGTTTTCCGTGTTTTTTGACTTATCTACAGTGTTAGAACAGTGAAGTAACTGAAGTAACTCAGTTTATCCACATCTCGCAAACTCTCGCTTGCAAGACTTTTTTTCTAACAAAATAGAGTATTACATGATAGTTTAAGGATTTCCTTGAATGGTCATAATCTCCACGTAGTTGCACGTTCATGTGAGCTTGCCTGACATCCACCGGTGCCATTTTAAAAGCAGAGTTTTTTGACTGCATGCGGTATATGTATATATTTTCTCTCCTGCTGCTGCACTGTGACCAGAGGATGTGGAGAAAAATGCAGGCCTTGAGGTGAGGTTAGGTTAGGTTAGGTTAGAAGAAGTTCATCCATCTTGTTGGCTAGGGAGCGGAGATTTGCTAGGTGGATAGCATCCCCTCCAGGTCCCACAGATTGCAGCTGCCCCTCCGATCAGAATGTCCATACAGCATTCTTCATTCACAAAAATCGGAGAAAGGTAGTTTGGTGTGAGTTGTCTAATATTTACCAGTTCTTCTCTGGTAAAAGTAATCCAGTATGGGTTGCAAGAGACTGAGAAAACAAAGAAAAACAACAAACACAAGCGAGCTCGTGTGACCAAGGCTGCCATTGCTGTCGGCGCCATCTTAATAAATGTGAGTCTAAAGTGATTCCAAAATACCTAAAATCTGACACAAATTGCAATTTTTCTGTAGTTACTAAAACATCAGGTTGAACTTCTTCCTTCTTTTTATTGGAAAAAACATGCAAGCAGTTTTTTGTGTATTTAAAGTGAGACAACATTGGAAGAGCCAACCACAAATTTTTATCTCTGCCGAAGCTAACTTGGATGCCACCTGCTCACTAGTTTTAGTATGTACATAAATCACAGCATCATCTGCATACATTTGTGTGTGTACATCTGGGCAGACATCAGGGAAATCATTCAAATACAGACTAAAAAGTAGGGGGCTAGTAGGGGACAGACCCCTGGGGATCCCCAGTAGAACAAACTCTCAATGGCAACATGTTCGTTTCAACTCGAGTGCATTGTTTTCTTAGGCTCAAGTATGACTCACTCCATTTTAATGTTAAGTGACTAATTAAAATTTGATAATTTAAAAGAACATTGTGGTTTATTGTGATGAAAGCCTTACACAAATTTAAAAACACAGCTCCTAACACACCATCCCTATCTAATTTTGACCCGACTTTCTCAATAAAATAAACAGTGGTTTCCACTGAATGATATTTACAGAATCCAAATTGAATGGGGGGCAATAAAATGTGATGTCCATTAAGAAATTTCACTAGTTGCTCTATTACTACCTTTTCTGCTCCCTTAGATACTGTGTTGAAATCAGAATCAAAATCAGCCTTATTGGCCAGGTGTTGGACACACAAGGAATTTGACTCTGGTACAGTGTTTCTCAATGTGCATGTACATATCAACAAGCAAAGGAATGGGTGTTAGAAAAGAGAACTGTGTGTATACAGTATATACATATACAGTATATATACATATACAGTATATATACATACATATATGTATACATACACACACACAGTCTGGATTCAATGGATCTATATGTACAATTTAAGTTTACAAAACCAAGCTCTAATAAGGAGATTAAAAAGAAATATTTACAAAACATACATAACGAGGTATCACATGGTCATAAGTATTCAGACCCTTTGCTGTGACACTCATATATTTAACTTAGGTGCTGTCCATTTCTTCTGATCATCCCTGAGATGGTTCTACACCTTCATTTGAGTCCAGCTGTGTTTGATTATACTGATTGGACGTGATTAGGAAAGCCACACACCTGTCTATATAAGGCAACGGCGCTAACCACTGTGCCACTGTGCTGCCCCGATATTGGTCTATTGTTTTATGAAATACCTAGCTATAGACTAAATGCTATAGTATATGTATATGCTTGATGCATATACAAAAAAGGACTGATCCTCAGACACAGTTTATATCAAATTTTGTTGCTCTTAAGTTATATTTTTTTCAAAACAATTGCACAGAATTAATTAATATTTATCACTGTCTTCAGGTCCAGCTGCCTGAAGGATAAAATTGCAAAAACAAACAATAATGACTCCATGCATTTCAAAATTACTGGTAAATTTGGTGAAGAAAATATACTCTAACAGTATACTCTATGTGACAGTGGTAATGGATTTCTTTTCCGCCAGGATGTGTGTGCAGCTATACTTGAGGAGCTCAAACTGGAAGTGCAGCGTTGTGAGGACAGTTTGACCAGAATTACTTCAAAAAAGAATTGTGGGAACTCCTTTTTATGCACTGTGGCCAGCTTCATTCTGGTTATAGATGGCCAGACATTAGACTGGGCCCTGCAGGAAGATCTGAAGAGTGACTTCCTGGAGCTTAGCCGTAGATGCAAAGCAGTCATCTGCTGCAGGTCCACTCCACTGCAAAAGAGCCAGGTGGTCCACCTGATTGGGAAAGAGCTTGGAGTCATCACACTGGCTGTGGGTAAGGACTACTGACTATAAAAGTGATGGACAGGCTAAGAGCTCCCAGAGGTGAAGCCCCCATGATCTGATTGCTCCCTGGTGGCTGGTTGCAGTATAGTTCATAAATCCTGCCTCCTCCATGTTAGTGTATAGGACATGATCCACCCTAAAACAAGTACAAATCATATTTTTCCCAGAGGTGATTTCATGTGTTTATGATAGATATTATCACAGTGAGGTAAGTACAAATGGTCGTTTTTTTGGTACTTTTTTTGTTTTGTTTTGATGATTTAAAAAGAGGTATATGGTGTAGCAAGATGGCAGTCACCATATTCACGATATTTTGGCTTCATTTTTGTATATTGGAAGGAAGTGGTGATGTCATGTCCATCGTATATATGCCAATGGTAAGGACAAAGCCTGTACGACACGTGCTTTGATGTTTCCAGATGTCAATGAAAATTAGAGGAAAAGAAATGTGTGTATTTTGTCATCCTCTGTGAATATTTCTCCATGTACCATTTTCTGACATAAAATTTTCTAAAAGATGGGCTTAAGGTCTAAGACTGAGTAGTAACACACCGAGGCAGTAGTTATTGTTAGACCAGTTAACTGTTAAACAATAAAAAAGTTAAAATAAACTACTGACTTGTAGACTTAGGTCATATGGGAAAAAATCTTCTCCTGTGTTAAAGGTGATTTTATGTCACAATATACAGTTTACTTACCTCCGCCAAGGGTATTGGTAATATTTGTTGGTTTGTGGGAAGAATTCATCAGGTTTTGTTGCTGATCTGTATCATAATTTGGATACAGGAATTTTTAAAAGATTATTCACCATCGGCTGTTGCTGTTTGAATGCTTTATATACAGTGGAGCAAATAAGTAGTTGATACACCGCTGATTTTTCAAGTTTTCCCATTTACAAAGAATAGACAGATCTGTAATTTTCATCATAGGTACACCTCAACTGTGAGAGACAGAATCTACAAAAAAAATTCCAGAAAATCACATTGTTAGATTTTTAAATAACTTATTTCCATTTTATTGCATGAAATAAGTATTTGATACAACAGAAAAATAGAACTTAATATTTGGTAACCTTTGTTTACAGTTAGAGGTCAGATGTTTCTTGTAGTTCTTGACCAGGTTTGCTCACACTGCAGCAGGGATTTTGGTCCACTCCTCCATACAGGTCTTCTTCAGATCTTTCAGGTTTTGGGGCTGTGGCTGGGCAACATGGAGTTTCAGCTCCCTCCATAGATTTTCTATTGGGTTCAGATCTGGAGACTGGCTAGGCCACTCCAGGACCTTGAAATGCTTCTTAC